GTATTGGGCAGTCCTGGGAACATCTCCGGCATCTTGGGGGGCTCGCGGGCTGTCTTGGAGGCCTCCTGGACCCTCTTGGGCGCTTTCTGGGGCCATCTTGGCCCGTCTCGGGGCCCAGGAATTTTGAAAAATTGGCGCCCAATTCCATAAGATGCTGTAACCCCATAGTCCTAAGCAAGGAGAACAGAGGACACATGAGAGCCTGGAGAAAACTCCACTTCGCGCCTCGCGGCACGGCGGTGGATCTCCTGGCGCCCGAAGCGAAGCATCTCGATGGAGGTGCACGGGGACTTCGGCGTGGCCATGTTTTCGGTTGACGAGGCGTGGGTGGACGATCCCCTGACTAAGTACGACTACAACGTCACTGGCTCGCTGACATCGGCTGCCCAGGAAGCGCAGTGCATCGCGCGCTTGAATAGGGCTCTCATCTGGGACCCAGCGGCAGGCGAGGCGCGGATCGAGGCTGACACGACGCACGCGGGCATGATCATTCGCGACCTCAGCTCGAGCCATTCGAGGGCAGTCCAGACTCCGCGGGCCAAGAAGAGGCGCGCGGGATGGTGGAGGCGCCCCTGAACGAGGTTGAGGTGACATCGCACAAATCGATCGCGATACGAGCAATCTGCCGGAGCCAAGACCGACCCGACCTCAGCTACACGACCTCGACGTGCTGAAGGAATCTGGGCCACGGACATGACTGACCTGACGCGACTGGGCCAGCATCTCAAGCACGCGCGCGCTGGCAGCATCGCTTCCAAGCTGCAGCTGGCGGCCTACAGCGCGGCCGGCTACATGGACGCGGACAGGGCTGGCGAGGCGCACGTTACGAAGCCGGGGAGCGCCATGGCCCTCACGTTCGGCGGTCATCCCATGAAGAGCGCTTCGAGCGCCCAGACTACCGTGGCCCACTCGAGCGGAGAGAGAGAGAGAGAATACTACGCTATGCCGAAGGGCTCTCGGCACGGACTTGGCTTGCAGCCGATGTTGCATGATCTTGGGTTTCGCCACTTCAGAGCGCCTATGTTGCACTGTAAGAGCTAGGTGACCGAGGATTTTGCGTCCTGACAGGTCCTTGGCATGGTTTGCCATGTACATGCAAGTGGCCTGTGGCTCTAGGACCAGGCGAGGGCTGGCCGACTTGATCGAGGATGCGCTCATTTAGCACGCCGCAGACGTCTCCATCAAGGCGTTGGACCAAGAACTGTTGAGGCGACATTTTAATTAGATAAATTGCAAGGTTCGTTTCGAGAGAAGCATCGAGTTATTGAATGTTTTCTCTTCTTCGGGTGTCTACGCGGTTACTAGCTGCGCGAATTTCCCGCGGACCTTGACTTACGTGTCTTCTTGTGTTCAGACGCGAGCTCTGTGGGCGATTTCTTTCGGCCGCACATATGCTTCGGCAAGCGAGAGGATTGCCCGACGTGGTGCGGTTGTTTTTGATGCGGGCTGCCCGGTTCGAGGTGGGCCCCCGCTGCTACCCGACGCCAGGCCTGCTGGGCAAGACGCTCGATGCCCGAGGCTTCCGAGAGGGGGCGCATCGATCCCACGACATAGCGCGCCACCGTAGCATTCCGCGCGCAGTTGTGACATGCGTGTTGTTGTAGCCGCCCGCAGCTCATTTGTGTCAAAGAGAGCCTAAACGAAGAACAGATGGCTGCCACCTCATCAGGTTACTCATGCTGATCCTCGCTTTCTTCTTTCAACTCCCATTGCATCCCTGATGCTGTTTCGGCTGTTATGCTGCTTCTCGTCGTCGCGGTCATAGTTGCCGTCGCCATCGCTGTCGCCTTACTTCCGCTACTGCGGCTGCTGCTCCAGCTCCTCCGCTTTTCCTCAACTGCGCGCGCATGGGCATGCTCGCGCTCTCACCCGGCATCAGCGGCGTCGAGCAGAGGACGTGCGTCATCGGCCCGCATCATAAGAAGCACGGAAGTAGGGGGCGGATTACCTTGTTCCCCACCGCGGCGCAACGTTTTCGCTCGGCCGCGGGATCACGCGCGACCGGGCAAAATGTCGCCCCCGCCAAAGCGTCGCACAGATTTCACAAGCAAGTGACGTTCCGGCTTCGGCGCGGCGCATGCGTTGCCCGACTACTCACATCGGTAATTTGGCCGCACGCGAAAGGGCGGAATGGTATTCTGGCCAGAGCGCCACGCGGGCATTCCCGACTCCCCGAGGGGTCTGCCCCCGCCTGCGCACGGCCTATGCGTCGGCGCTCGCGACCCCCGCGGGGGATCCGACGAAATAAGTAAGCGGCCAAAGACGATGGAGACTTCTATAACATATTTTAGCCAGCGTGGACCCCAAACGGTAGGTTCTTGCAGTCTACGCAGTGCAGTTTATGTGGCGCAACATGTGCGATGCAACTTACGTAGTGCAATCTATGCGGTGCAATCGATGCGGTGCAACCTACGTGATGCAATTATTCCATGCTCAACATGAAGTTGTCCACTCCACCTGCTCGGGCAAACATCATACCCACCCACCCGCAACGTGGCTTTCAAAACCCAAGCGGCGGCGATTGCAATGAGTGTTTGTCGCAGGCTGGTGCATCTTTGCGGCCGCGACAGCCAGCACGTGCACGCGCGCGCACCGGCCAGCTACTTTAACGCGACCGACGCAGCCGCGGTGGCGCTGACCGCTGGGCACATCGCAGAGGGCATTTCAGTGCGAGTCGGCGATTTGGGCGGGCGCGTTATCATTGCAACGTCGACAACGGTAGACACGGTGATGATTCTAGCGATGTTGGCGACGATGCTGACAGCGACGACGGTACGGCCAGTGACGGCGCGGATGATGATCACGCCAACGGCGATGACGGCGCCTTCGCGTCGGGGATGAAGGTTTTGGAAAGAGTTCGACATGCGCATGCGGCCGACGCGCGAGAGTGGCCGGCATGGTATTCTTTGACACGGATCGTGCCGCCCCCCCCCCCAGCGCGCGCAAGGGCGTGCGAATGACGTCGGCATGCGGCGCGAGAGGCCCGTTTGATTGAATTCCACAATAATGTTGAAAACTTCTGGTTTTCAACACTTATGGTTTTCAAGAATTCGCAAGAGCGCGGGCGCACGCTTTTTTGACAATGGACGTTGCGAAGTCATGTGGGTTTGTATGGCTTGGACATTCGGTTTTGACATCGCAACGAAACCGAAGGTTTGACGGATTTCGGCATGCGCGCGCGACGACGCGCGCGCGCAGTTCGTCCCATTTTGCGCAAAGGATTTTCGCGACGGCACGCGCGCAAGGGCGTTCGAACGATTTCGACATGCGCGCGCGAAGCCCGTCTGGTAGCATGTCTTGAAAATTTAGACAAAAAAAAAAATGGTTTCTTCCAGAATTCGCAAGAGCGCGCGCACACAAGCTTGTGTTGAAAATCCGTGCTGCAAAACCCTATGTTTGTATGTATTGTGGACACTCGGTTTGGAAATCTCTACGAAACCAGCGGTTTGCTAAAGTATTTCGGCACCCGCAAGCGACGACGCGCGCGGCGCACTTCGTCCCAGCTTCTGCAAGGGATTATTGTAAGCTTATGTTTTGGATAAACGAGTGCGCGAGCATACTATTTGTTGCGGAAGATGGCGGGGGGGGCGATACTAGTTGAGCTGGGATGGTACGGACTCATATTCAGGATGGACGATGGGGATGAATCATATGTCATTTGCAATACGAAAGATGGAACGGATAATCCCGGGGGGGATATTTGATTATTCTTGCGACGGCGACGGCGGCGACGGGCGGCAATGCCCGCAAAAACCGCCAGTCGCCCCGAGCGGTTTCGACGGCGACGGCGGCGACGGGCGGCACCGCCCCCAAAAGCCGCCACTCACCCCGAGATGGTTATGCCAAGTAAGAAAGCCCAAAGTGCAAGCACTGTTTGGGGAACAGCCTTCACCAGATCACCCCGCAGCATTAATCCAAACACGACACCAACCGCATAGCAAAGCGCTGGTCCAGCAATGGCGAACGAAATCGTACACCAGTGGACGCCAAGGGGAAACAAAAGCAGCACCGCGCACCCCTCCCAGATTCCCACCCGCGGCGAACCCAAGATAGGGTGGCCACGTGAGGAGCGGGCAACGACAGTGCGCACACAGCGTGCAGCAACAGAAACGATCGGCCAGTCGTCCCCGCGGGCCCGCCGCACCCGCCGATGTTTCCCCGTCGCCAAGTCGTCGGAAGCGGGGCCGCGCTTGCGCGAGCGCTTTTCCCTTCGCTAGGCAGGAGCGCGCGCCATCAAGATCCAGTTGTGCCAGGAGTTAGTGATCATGCATGTAATGAGAAAGGGGGGGGAGCGGGTGGGGCCTGCTGACCCGCTCGAGATGGCCAGCCTGACCCTTACGATTGCCCCGACTGCTACACCATACATCCTCCCAGGCAGCTCAAGGTGTTCCCGCTGGAATCGATCGATATACGTTGGCTTGTGCGGGCTTTATGGCCAGGAAGCCAATGCAGATCGAAGGAGAGGCATGACAGGACGGCAGGTTCGTGTCGCGTCGATGCGGCGGCGCGCCCAGCGCGGGCGTTCAAGGTTGAACCCCGCCAGTGGCCGGGTTTCGGCCGATCTCGTGTGATTTGCGCAAAAGGAAAGCCGCGCTCGTTCACGATTAACCGATCCAAGCGGTGTCAGGCACAAGCATTAACTTGCAGTGGAATACGCGAAGCACGTTGCATGTTGTTTTCGCATCGCCGCGAGCGCCCGCTGGGGGGGGGGGGGGACGAGCGGGAGCTTTGATGGGTGCACTTACGGCGCGCTTTCCCTTCCCGGCACCCAAGACCCCCTCGCGTCGTGGAAACAATCACGGCCGAAGGCTGCGATTCTCGGCTTCTGGGGGCCCTCACCGGTTTGAAACCGTCCGTGCGATACCCCCCCCCTTTGTCCTTTCGACCGACCCGCGACAGTTACTTTTTTAGCCAGTGGGTGCAAGAGAGCGAAAGCGGTGTAGGCGCCAGTCGGGCGCCCGCCACAGTTACATAGACAAGTTGAAAGAGCGCGGCTTCAGGCGAATGTCAACACCAGCTTGAGCACCAGCTGGATCATCTGGATCACGCTCCTTACCATTATTACAATTTCTTCTGGCTTTCCCCACCCGTCGATATCATTGCCAATCCCTGGAGGTAGTGGGAAGAGCGGTCCTGGGATGGTGGTGGGTCAGCGCACATGGAGCGGGCAATCATTAGCTTTGAGAAGAAAGAAGGGCAAACGAAGGAAAGTTGCATGGAAAGAGAGGGACATAGTCTGCCGATCGATTGGAAAGCGTGTGGGGAAGGAGGAGATCGATAGGAAGTCCATGTCCAAGAGTCTGTGCCAAAGAATGGGCATGGCATAGTTCAAGAAGGGCTAACATCACGAAAGACTTGAGAGGCATTACAGGATGATCTAGGTAATCCGGAAGGGCTTCGCCCTCTGCCGCCAGCCCCCTCGATATCATTATGGGAGATGTTAGATCTATGCCTGGACGTGTCGGATCTGTTGAACGCTTTGTTTCCTTCTCAGAGTGCGCAGCTGGCGTGAATGTCATACAAAACTGGCTCTGAAAGCGCTAGCCACGCGTAATTTACTAAGGATTGTGGCTTTTAGAGCGCGAACTTAGGAAAATAAAATGATTTCTGGCCTCGCGAGCAGGAATTCGTCTACACAGATGTTGGAGTCGAAAGCGCGAAATCTCACGTGTTTTGTCCGTGCCCTTAGGCCCCCCAGAAATTACGCGGCTCGCGCTTGGCGAAAATACCAGTTTTCGGTCCCCCCCCCCTCTCGTTCGCACAGTAACAAAGTGTTAACTCTTCTCGAATCCCCCCACCAGCCTTGGTGCTCTCACCTGAACTCCATGCATGGTTCACACTGGGAACGGACGGTCAGGTGGCTCCTGACCTGCTCCTGTCTGGTCTCGGCCTCGGTTGGCGACTGCGAGGGTTTCGTGAGGTCTCGCTTCGAATTCCATGCATGACCACACCGCGGATGGGCGGCCAGGTGGCCCCTGGCCTGCTCCTGCTTGTTGTCAGCCTCCACTGCTGACCGCTTGGGTTCCGTGGGGACTTTCTACGGTGCCGTCCTCCTTGGTGCAAGGATTTCGGGTGCCGTCCCTATTCCCACTCACTACGGGTCATCGACCTCTGCGTTTACATGGTCGCGCCGCCGCGCCATTTTGGATGCGCCTACCTGTTGGTCGCCACCGGGATTTCACGCCACCGGTTTGGGAGTGCCGCTCCTGGTGCACTTCTGAGTGGCAGCCCGCGCTCTCGCTTCGCTGGCCCCTCTCCGCGCCTGTTTTGCTTTTCCGATTTCCTCTTTTCTGCTGCCCAGTCGTGGCCCGGCTAGATTTTGGACGCCTTTTGACCCGCTTCATGGATGAGGCCGCTGACCAGAAATAATCCCCACCAGCCCATCCAGAAACGATGCCCAGAGGAAGTGCCTCGATCAGGGAAGCGGGCAGCACACAGAGGAAGGGTCCCAAGTGGAGGCTTCTTGGAGCGTCTTGGGGGGCCCTTGGCAGTCCCGGACGCCTCTTAGAGCGTTTTGGGTACCTCGGAGAGCTTCTTGGGACCTCTTGGGGGTCTCTTGGGAACCTCTTGGGAACCTCTTGGGGGCCTGTTGGGGCCTCCTGGGGCCTCCTGGACGCCTCTTGGGGCCCTCTTGAAGCGCTCTTGGGAGCCTTGGGAAGCTCTTGGAGCCCTCTTGGGCCATCTTGGAGCCATCTTGACGCCGCGGCGAGAAAGCCAAAAACATTGATTGACTTAAGATTTTGGAAGGATTTGGGCATCGTCGGGGCCTCCTGGGGGAGCTCTTTGGCCACTTGAAGCTGTCTTGAAGCGGTCTTGGGCCCTCTTGGAGCATCGTGGGCGCCATCTTGAGGCATTTTGGGATATCTTGAGCCATCTTGGAGATCACCTTTGGCTTTCCCAGACGCTGTTGGAGTCATCTGAAGCACTGCCCCCCCCCAGGAGGCCAAAATGTGGCCAAAACCTTACTAAAATCAACGATTTTGGCATTGTCGCCGAGGCCTCTTGGAGCGTCTTGGGTGCCTCTGTGGGGCCTCTTGGAGGTCTCTTGAAGTCTCTTGGGAGCCTCTTGTGGGCATCCTGGGGGCCTCGTGGGGGCCTCTTGGGGCTCCCTGGCCACCTCTTGGGGCCCTCTTGGGGCACCCTTGGGGGCCATCTTTGGGCCATCTTGGGTGAGATCGAGGGGGGGTACTAATTACAGCCCCCCCCAGGAGGCCAACATGGGGCCAAAACCCAACTAAATTTAGCTTCCTCGCCGAGGCCCTTTTGGACGCTCCGACGACTCGCGACCCCCCCCCCTCCAGGTCCAGGGGAGGGGGTAGGGGGAGGGGTAAACCCCTCCCCGAAGAGGCAGAAGGAGGGATGGAAGAGGAAACTCTCTAAACCACCCACGCCCAGAGGGCTGGTGGGATAACAGTAGGAAGCCGAAAGTAGAACATTCACATTGGAGGCTGGAAACTAGAACTGGAGCAGGTTGCAGGGAACCTCATCCCCGCAGCCTGATGGCCCCACAAGGGGGCAAGCGGATACCATCAGTCTTCTCAGAGGAAGTGCCAAGTTGATGTCATTATAGTTTCTGGCATGGTGCAAAGAAAATTGTCGGATGCATGGGTATACGGCGCCGAGATTGTCAGCATAGGAGGCGAACACGGTCGTCGCGTCACCAACCATAACGCTGCACCGGCTCATGGGAATCAGCGATTTACGTGATGATGGTGACGACGGTGACGATGGTGATGATGGTGATGATGGTGATGATGGTGATGATGATGATGATGAGGAAAAATAAAAGAGTCATGACCGTCATGTGTTCCTCCGTCATCCCTCGGCTTCCTCTGGTAAAAGAAGAAGCACACTATGATTCAAGATGTGAGCCAAAGACGGGTCGGCGTTGGCACGCCTTGCGAAACACCGCCGCCATGTCCTCAGCTTCATTGTATTGTTTTTCCTCCTCATCAGCAGCATCGTCAGCAGCATCATCATTATCATCAGCATCATCATCAACTTCCTCCCTTCCTCATCGGTCTCTCCTGTCATTCCCTCCGTCCTCCGCCAGCCACTTGGACGCCCCCTCTCCTCCCTTGCCTTGTCTTCCTTCCTTGAGCGTCCTCAGTCCTGCCGTATTTTGCGTCTTGTTGTCCTTTGCCTTCCCTCGCTCGTTCTGTCGTCCGTGGTCTGTGTGATACAGGCTTTATTGTTTTAGTTCGTGCAGTGCAATTATTCCTAGGGAGAGGGCTATGCGTCAGTCAGTCACGTGCCCTCTGGGATGGAGGCTTATGCCCAGCCCTCCTGTGGCTGGGTCTTCATGTGAAACGGGACACTGCTGCTCCCGCCTCCTCCCCTCCTCGCTTCCTCCTCGCGTCCTCTTCGCTTGCTCCTCGCCTCCCTGGGGTGCTGCGAAGTGCGCAATCGTCGCCAGATTTTCGCGAGCTCCTGGGAGGTCCAGCGGGGTGACGCCGTACTGGACTCCGAAACGAGACCTCGTCCCCCCCGGATTGCCAATAGCGCGCCATGGCCGCCACTCTCGTGAACTCTTGGCAGGTCCGGCGGAGCGACGTCGTGCGGGGATCCAAACGAGGGTGTGCCCCCCCCAGGAGCTGCCAACTGTGCAGATTCGTCGCCGTTCTGAGCAGCCCCCCCCCCCCCTCTCGCCCCCCGGGCCTCCCAGGAGCCTCCAATGGATCCCCAGGCCTCCCAGGAGCCTCCTGGGGCCCGCCGGCGCAGCTACCTTGCGGCCCACTGCGTGGGCGCCGCCAACGCGTTACGGCCAGGTCCCCTTCCCGGCCTTCTAGGGAGCTTCCCAGGGCCTCCAGCGCAGAAACACCGTGGGGCTCTGCATGCGGTTGCCCCCTTGTGGCGTCCGCGCGCGGCGACCGAGACCCCTGCCCGCAGATAATCAGGAGGGAAATAAACGCACGGACACAAATAATCGTGGATTCCCCCGAAAATATATGAAACTATTGGAAAATTATGGGAAGTGGGGGGGAAGACAAAAACCCAGAAAATATGGGAACAGATGGGGAATCCTGTTATTTTGTATGTATTTGTTTGTGTGTCCCAGGGCCCCTTCAGATAAGCTTCGCTCGCTGGGGTCTTCCATTTCTGCCAAGCGGTCTGACACGCCCTTGAGTCGTCAAAGGGGGGAGGCAGCATTTGTCGCTGCTGGAGGGCCCTTGTGGCCACGACTCGGCACGGCTTGACAAATATCGGGGGACTGTACCCAGAAAGGGTCATCGGGCGATGTTGCGCGGAGTCTGACCATGAGAATACCGTATGACGCGTGCTTCCCTCCTTCTCGTCGACAGTCCACCACATGATCCTCCTCCTCATCTTCCATCTTATCCCAGTGCGCTCTGCAGGGACGAGCCAGCGACGGCATCGGCATCGAGTCCTGGCACGCACGCGTCAGAGGCAGAGCTGGAAACTGCAGCGCGCGCTATTTGGGGACAACTTCAGAGCGCGAGTGTGTCCTTGGCGAGACCTGCTCTCCATGGCCAGGAGACACCCGCCAAGCACTGCACATGTAGAGCGATGGCGTTGGATAAGGCGATGTAACAAGAGAAGACGGCAGCAGTACCTGCAGCAGCATGAACAGGATCATGGCATGAAGGAAATCAGTAGACATAAGAGTCTCATAAAGACGAGGACGATGAGGAGAAGGAGGAGGAGGAGGCGGAGCGACTGCGATCAAGAACGTTCAGGCATAGGGAGGACATTGACAGGGCAGGTGGGTGCACATCAGAAGTCCAAGTGAGGGCTTTCCCAAGCCGAATTCTGCCAGTCTTCAGACATCGGCGCAACAGCAGTTTCAGGGTGCAGCATGGAGTACCACGTGGAGCACACGACTGTCCAGCGTGTTACACGTAATTCCACATGCGGAAAGCTGGATGCACGTGACGCGGCCAGCCTGGGCGATGTCTGGATAGACACGTAAGGGCGTGGCCTTCCAGCGTTCGGCTCTCGTGCGACCAGCCCTCGGTAGAAGCATCCAGCGCGTGGCCTTCACATTTCCCGCATCTGAACCCAGCTGCCCGTGCTCCCCAGATTTCCGACGCTGTGATTTTTCCAAGACGCGGCACCCAGAGTCCTCGACCCCCTGGCCTAGAACCAGCTCATCCTCCTGCGGCCCCAGCGGGCCCCCAGAGTCCTAAATTGGAGAGAGGTTGGCCGTCTAGCTCTTGTTGTGCGCTGCGTTGGAGGCTTCGGTCGCCTGCTTCCTGATGAATATGTATAGCCGCGTGTGCCGCAAGTTCAGTAGATGTCGACGACAGTGCTGGGGATGATGCTGTCGGCGTTTTTGGGGAGAACGCACCACCGTCGGCCAGGGCCAGATCCGGGGCCCCGGAGATCCTGGAAACCTTCGCGTTCCCCGCCCCCCGCCTCCTGGAGCGTCGCCCGTGTCGCACACAGGCGGCCCGGATTAGTAGGTCGACCTTGCCAGATCAAGGGTACCTTCGTGTCCTGTGTCTTGCGACCCATGCCTCCTGCATTCCTGTGGCAATGTGGCCCTCGGAAGGGTCTTGTGTCCTCTCGCGTGTCCTCTCCAATCGAGTCCGATTGTACGGATTCTCGCGCTCGTGTACGGTAGGTTCGTGTCGCGCCGACGCGACGGCGACGCCAGCGCAGGCGTTCAAGGCTGAAGGCCGCCGGTGGCCTGAGCTCCTGCCAGGATGGAACTATCTCTCCTGCAGGAAAGCCACGGCGACTCGAGCATGAAGACCCACGACAAGAACCAGCCGTAGACGAGCGGAGTTGCAGGTGCTTCGCAGGGGGCCCTGCCCCGCCCCGCAGGAGCCCCGCGCCCTGCAGCCCCAGGGCGCCCCGCACGACTTTGGCCTGGTTGTCAAGAGCTTCGACCCCACCGAGTATGGACAGCCGTTGTGCCCTCTCCCCCATCTTCTCCGCACCACGAAGAGAGCAAGTCAAGTAGGAAAGCAGGCCCTGTATGCTTTTCCTCGCTATCGCGCTCCCGGGTCCCTCCGCAGGCCCAAGGACTGGTAACAATCACCCAGGACGGGAAAGTAGATTTTGGGAAGGCACAGGGGTCAAGGACCCCGTTCCGCCAGGACCCGTTTCTTTCATGGCAGTCTTGTTTTTCTTCTTCCTCATCTTCCTCCTCCTCCTCCTCCTCCTCATCCTCCTCCTTCTCCTCCTCACCTCATTCTTCCTCAACTTCCTCCTCCTTCTCCTCATTCTCCTCCTTCTCCTCCTCACCCTTGGTCTGCAGGCGGTTTCGCGTCCTGCACACCCCCGGCAGTGCCGCCCCTGGCGGGCTTTCGAGGACATCCGAGTTCCGAGTTCCGAGATCCTCCTCACCCTCACCCTCACCCTCACCCTCCATCCCTCGTCCTTTTTCATTACCCCCTCGAAGTACCACCTGGCGTGCGTCTCATCTGAGACTTCCCACCGTCTCTCGAGCTACCTGCGGCAAACCTCGCCACCGTGCCAGCGCAGCAGCGCAGCGTGAAGGAGGTTGAGGTAAGACCCACAGCAGTTCAGCGCGCGGCCCGAAATCGAGTGGGTCTTAAATTCGACATCGTTCCCTCGACTCTTGAAGGCCTCCCATGGGGCCTTCCTGGGGCCTCTTGGAACGTCTTAGGGCTCTCTTGGCCCGTCTGACGCCTTCGGAGGCCGTCTTCAGCCTCCCTGGGCCGTCTTGGAAGTCTCTTCGGCCCTCTTGGGACCGTATGGAGGTCCTCTGGGGCCGTGTTGGACTGTTGGAAGCACGACCGATAGGGAACGCAAACATCATAGTAAACCTCAAAAACTGAAACAATGATTTGGGTTTCTTCGGGCCCTCTTGTAAGGTCTCTTGGAGCTCTGTTGGGACGTGTCGGGGGCCTTTGGGGCAGTCGTAGGCTACCTTGGCCCGTCTGACGCCTTCGGAGGCAATCTTGGGGGCCTCCCTGGGCCGTCTTGGGGCTTTCTTGTGGCACATTCAGGGCGTCATGTTTGTCTCTTTGCCCGTCTTGGAGGCACCTCGGAAATCGTAAGGTTGTCGGAAGCCCGAAGAAGCGGGTGCGTGAAAATCGGTTGAAGACAAAAATATAATCAATGATAGTGGCTAATTCCAGCCTTCCTGGAGAGTGTCTTAAAGCTGTCTTGGGCTGTGTCGGGAGGCCCTTGGGCCGGCATAAGGCTCTCTTGGCCAGTCTGGCGCCATGGGATGCCGTCTTGGGGGCCTCTCTGGGAAGTCTTGTTTCGTTTTTCAGCGGTTTGGAGGTCTACTGAGCGAACGAACAAGTAAGAGCACCTCAGGCAAAGCCAAAGTGGTATAAAACTATCCCCAGGAAGGGCTCGGCGGGCCCAGGGGGGCCCGCGCATTGAGAGAAATCGTGTCGTCGGAGGTGTCAGAGCGCCCAGAGAGATCTTTGTCCCATGAGTTTGTGTTGTTGCTTGCTTCGGAAGGGCTGTGCTGCCTCTTCCGGTTCCAGCCTGAGGGTTGCGCAAAGGTGTTTGGCTCAGCGCCATCGTTGTGTGAGCCAGGGGAGCGACTTGCAAAGGTTCTTTCTGCTCTTCCTCCTCTTCCTGGTGTTCCCCCCTCCGACCTTGCCAACGTTAGGGTGCCCGCCTGCTTGACCATCGTGTTGCGGAGATGCAGTTGGTACCTGTCCCTCCGCCTCCACTTCCTCATCACCCCCTGCCATCTCCTCATCCACATCCCGTCCTCTCTCCTCCTCCCCTCTTCCCCTCCCCTCCGCATGGAAAGGAGAATTGGGAAGAGCGGAGGGTAAGAAACGCCCCTCCACCACCTCTTCCTGCTGATCCGACCCCCGCCAGGCCAAGACTACATGCGCCTGAACGAGGGGGACATCGTCAGATTTATCAGAGAGGATGACGGTTGGTATCTGGGCGAGCGTGTGGACAAGGAAACCTTGTCGATCAAGTTGGCAGAAGGCTGGTTTCCGCCAGCCTTTACGCACTTCGACTAGTGCACACGGTGCTGCTGAGGAGCGACGGGACAGCCGTGGCTTGCGGGAGGAATACCGCGTCAGCTATGTCGCCGGGCAGCATTGACTTCCTGGCGATCAACGAAGGCCTGACTTACGCGCAAGTCGTTGCGGGTTGCAAGCACAACGTGCTGCTGCATCGTGGCGCGGCAAGAAAGGATGGTAAGTCCAATGAGTCAGTCATCACTGTCTAGCCCCATCGGCGCACCTTCCTCGGTGGGGTTGGGCCCCGCGAGTCCCTGGATAGGGATCGGTTAAACGATGCTCAGCACATGGAGTGGGGGGGGGGGCTTGCGTCTAGGTGGACTACGTGCGACCAAGCCGCAGAGATGCACCCCGAAAGGTCACGCTGTTGGGCTAGCTCGCCTCTCTCTCGAGCCCGTCCCTGGGCCAGGCCTGCAAGCAAATCTGAAGCGGGTGTCCCATCGTGAAATGATGCAAATTTCAGGGGTTCGCAAGTCGGCCCCCCTGGGCCCGAGTACGAGGAGGAGGAGGGTCGACGAGGGGCATGGACGAGGGGAAGCCGCTGGAGGAGTGGGGCCGTCAACCGATGCGCATGTAAAGAGCGACAGAGCCTTTCACGAACGCGGGGTGGTCAGCGCTGTTCTGTGCCATTGCTTTTTCGAACTCGTCGTTTCGTTGCCCGATCTCCGCCACTTGTTCCCACTGACCAGCAAATTTTGGGATCGCGCGCAGGAAGTCCCAAATGCCCAATGGTGTTCAGGCGAGCCAGTCACATAGCCGGAGCGGGTCGAGCTCGAAAAGAAATAGGGCAGAGAAGAGTGTATTGGAGTTGGAGGCGGGCGGAACATGAATCGAGTGGAGAGGACCGGTGAGAAAAGGGGTCGACTTGAGCGATGCGAGTTGGAGCGGGCAGGGAGCAAAGGGGGAGTGAAGTGGAACGGTGGAGAGGAGGACGAGCGCATGAGATAGAAGGGAAAAGGAGAGGGGAAAGGTGAAGAGGTGAGAGGACTAGACGAGGGGGACTACATCTCACCCTTTTCGGTGTCCATTATACCTTGCGGTCCGCATGGTGCACTTGACAGCATGATTCCGCATTCACGCTGGCCCAACAACCCTTGCTCCTCGCGGCATTAATTATATTCGCACGTGATTCTAACTACCACAAATTCTGCTTCCACGCTACCACTGCGCTGATCCGAACTATCATACCGCCCATGCCAATCACGCTATTCTTCCAATTATCATCACGGGTAGTGTTGCTATACACTTCCCGCTATTGTCATTGCTCCGTTTCGATTTAGTACGACTGTACTACGCTACTACTTGCTACTACTACACTACTACTACTACTACGACTACGACTACCACTACTACTACTACTACTACTACTACTACTACTACCACTACTGCTACTACTACTACTACTACTACTACTATTACTACTACGATTACTACCACTACTACTGTTACGACTACTTGTACTACGTACTACTACGACTATACTACTACGACTAATACTGCTGCTACTATCATCATCACTACTACTACTACTACTACTACTACTACTACTACTACTACTACTACTACTACTACTATACACTTTACGATTACTATTACGACTACTACATTTACTACTACGACTACTACTACTTTTACTTACTACTACTACGACTACTACTACTACTACTACTACTACTACTACTACTACTACTACTACTACTACTACTACTACTACTACTACTACTACTACTACTACTACTACTACTACTACTACTACTACTACTACTACTACTACTACTACTACTACTACTACTACTACTACTACTACTACTACTACTACTACTACTACTACTACTACTACTACTACTACTACTACTACTACTACTACTACTACTACTACTACTACTACTACTACTACTACTACTACTACTACTACTACTACTACTACTACTACTACTACTACTACCACTACTGCTACTACTACTACCACTACTTCTACTACTACGACTACTACTACTACTACTACTACGACGACGACTACTACTACTCCTGCTCGGACTACTGCTACGGGAGATGATCGGCGCCCGACCGGTTCCAGTCCCGTGCCGCCCGCATGTGGTCTCAGAAACAGCATGTATCACCTTTGTAGACACTATGCCTTGGGAACTAAGAGGACAACAAAAAAAGGAATGTGCGCTGGTTATCCGCAGGGCGGGCCCGTGTGCCAACGTGGGGGTGAAAGGATACGCAATTTGACAGCACCCATATGCTGCGGCAAACACAGCGACGCATTGAAGATGGCTCTGTCGAGATGTTCGACAAGACGGAGGAAGGAGGGAGGAAGGTAAAGACAGGAGTCCCAGGAGAGGAGTGAGAGAGAGAGAAAGAGAAAACAAACAAGTAAAATGAGGAGCGGTCGTATGCAAGGAGCCGTGGACGAGGAGGGTGATTTTACAATCCGCGCCAGTCCAGACAGAGTCAGGCAGGAGGAGTGTGGGGAGGCGCGAGGAATAGGGGTAGAGTGGACTGGGCGGAACGTTGCATAGATGTTGCGTTGGGTCTTACAGGCTCGGAGGCGTCCTAGATGTCTGTTCTAGACCCGAGGACTCCAAAATTTGCAGGCTTTCCGAAAGCCTTTCAATGATTCGAAGGTTTCGCCTTTTCTAGCATAGGACGGCCCAAGATGGCCACAGGGGCCTCCTAGATCGCCCCTAGACGGCCCAAGAGACTTCCAAGAGGGCCCCAAGACGGCCCAAGAGGCCCCAAAGATGCCCAAATATTCAAGAGGCTTCAAAAAAAGACCCCAACAGAACCCCAAGACAGACCAAGACCCCCAAGGAGACCCCAAGAGGGCCCCAAGAAGACCCTAAGGGGGCCCAAGAGGGCCCCAAGACGGCGCAGTGATGGACACAGCTTTGACGCCAATGCTCCCAAGAGCTCTAGGTGACGGAATGCTATTTTTAGGCGGGCCGGTGCCGTAAGAAGTTTTTCACGCTCCGGTTCCCGAGAGCAAACAGTGATGTCAAGAGAGTGTAGCGCCAAAGCTCCCAGTACGAAAGTTGACGTAACAAGTTTGAATTTCAATGCTGCCAGTACGAAAAGTATTGTGAACTCTCTCGGGCAAGTTCTTGCATCGTTCTTTCCGTGCCCGACCCAGGTCTGACATTTCGCTGGCCCGATGGACCAGCGAAAGTTTAGAAGTGCGGTTTTGCAAACGCAATTGGCGCCACCGTCGGGCCCTGCGGCGAGAAGCCGCGGGACCCCCCACCCCCCACCCCGCCGCCACCCACCCACCCCGCTCAGGCCCTCCAGCAAGCTTGGCAGGAAGCCACCGCCCGCCCACCCCACACCCCAGCCCCTCCGGGCCCCCACGACACGACAGCCCCCGCAGGCCAGACCTCACTAGGCCACCCCAAATCGGAGAGAGGATAAACGCAGCGACGCTTCCTTTCTTTGACCAGCCAACACGTGTACAATTTCAAATTGTTTCGCGCGAGCAGGCACCCTTCATTTTGGCTGCACCACGTATTTTGCAACTCGTGTCTTCGGCGCCAGAAATCAGCGACGAGAACGGATACATATATATGTATAATTTGGCACACAGCGATCCGCCAAGGTTGCGACCGTGGGGAGGGCACGGGCCACAAGAAATGGAGCGAGGAGTCCAGGATTGGTGACGACGCAACATATGGGAGCAAGCGCCATGGACGTACGAGTATACCGTACGTTTGGAAGTTCGTTGCGATTGTATATCTAGGTTGGTGTCGGCATCGTGCCAAGAATTGTTCACAACAACGAAAAAGTACCAGACTGACTAGTAGAGTGGCAACATCATCTTGCCTTGGAAAGAAGAACATACATAAGGGAAGCATTTCATTGCAAACCTGCAGTGGCGCCAGTATTTCAACGCATTCGAGGGACTTCCCAATCTGAGCGTCAAGAGTCAAGTCCGACGGAGGTTTCAGTACAGCTGAACGTGCGTAGTCATAATTTGCAGGTGTTCGTTTGTATTCACCGTGTGCTTGCCCACGTTCAAGATCTTAAACACGCGAACGTTTTCGCAAGGTTTGAGTATGTGTGTTGTACGTTTGAGTGGAGATCACGCTATGCGATGCCCAGGGTTCATGCACTCTGTGTTTGGACGCCTCGCGGTCTCATCATTGCCACTTTGCTTACATCACGCGCATGAGGTCACGAATAGTTTTTTTCTTGTGTGTATACGGCGGGCCACATCTGGGTAGAATAGTCCGCGCGCAATCCTCACTCACGCCCCGTTTGTTACAAAAGATTGTTCCAAATATGGTTGAATACCATTTGGCGAATGGCGCACCACGGTCGCGATAGTCGCATTATGGCATGCTCTGCGTGCCGCATTCACTTGTCGTCGCTTGTGTGCATGTGAGGAAGTGTTGGCTTGAGGTCGCTGATCCAGGTGCGGCGTCCTTGTTGCAAGTTGCATCCAATTCTTCACCGGTTCCGAGCACGAGCAGGATGTAACGATGTTGTTGTTTGTAATGAAGTCACAGAGTTTGAAAAAAAGGCGCCAGACCCGTCAGCATCACCGCAATCACGAGCAGTCAGTAATCAATCGGCAGGTCGATTCGACATCACCGATTTCGCGAACAATCGAAGAAAAAAATGGCAGGCCAGGCCGATTACGCAAGAGAGCGCAAATGACCAACATCTATATACCGGAGGTGGCCACTGATTCCGGTTCCTAAGCACGTCGGCGGGTCCATGATTGTGTTTGTGTAGTGGATGCGTCGCGGGGGGCTTTTGGAGGGCGTTTTGAGCTTTTTGGGAGTTCTTTTCGGGTCTCTTGGGGCCTCTTGGAGGCCTCAGGGGGGCACGTCTGTGAGCATTTTGGGGCCATCTTGGGATGCAGGGCTCCAGATGTTAGTCCGTAGTCTTCCTCTTGGGGATTTCGTAGGCTCGTTTGGGGGGGTCCTGGGCCGTCTTGGTGCCCTCTTGGGACGGTCTTGGGGGCTTCTTGGGATGTCGTGGAGCGGTGGAAGTGCGAAAAGGCGAGAATGGTAACATCTTTCCAAAACCGTCTGGTAATGAATGGTTTCCGTCACTTAAGGCCTTTTCGGAAGTCTCTTGGGGTTTTTTTGGGGCGTCTTGGGGACTTCTTGGGCTGTGTCGAAGCCAAATTGGGACGTTTTGGAGGGCTCATGGGCCGTCTCGGGACCGTCTTCGATATGGGCTCGCTTCGGGACCATGTTGGGGCCTTC